AAATTCATTAGAGCATTTTCTCAACTTAAAATGATGTATTTTAATTTTACTTAGTATTTACTCAGCACGTTGGGTATCAGAAAATATATGTTGTTTTGATTTAGTAAAGATGCCCACTGTGTGCCTGACACATTTGCTACTGGTGCTATGAAGTTGATTGAACAATTCTGGTAGAAGAGACTGTATGTATGGAAAGTTGCAGGGAATGGTTCTGAAAAGCCAGGGGAATCCTATACATTGCAGATGTGCTGGGAGTGCCTGAAGAGGAAGCTGCTGAGTGTGGACTTGATTTTGTGTTTTTAAGCAAAAAAATTCCATAGCTGGATTTTACAAACATCATAGTTAGGTTTTACTAGCAACATGCTATGTTGCTTATAAGGTATGCTTATGACCTTAGTTAATCTACCTATTACTAAGTAATCATCCTTTTGGACTCAGGAACTAAGCTGTGATTGTGGTGGGACATGGGGGAAAATTCCAAGTTATTTTGTTGAAAATGAGGTATGTGTCTACAAATTTTAGAATAAACAAAATGACTTGAGCTAATCTATAAAATAATAATATCATTATTTTTATAAACCATTTTATTTAAATTTCCCATGGAAACTTCTGTGGACTGACTTCTTAATGCTGAAACCTGGAGTATTTTGTCTTTGCTGTGCTTGCAGGGTCAGTGTGAGGATAAATGATAAAGTGAAACAGCTTGGAATGATTGAGACATGCTATATAAATTCAAACCATTGATTATTGCAGGGTTCAGAGAAGCTTAGAGTGTTTAATTCTGAAATGTTAAAGTTGAGGTAGTTAATACAAAGATATTTATTTATTGATTGATTGATTGATATAAGGTCTTACTGTGTACCCCAGGCTGGTTGATCTCCTGAGTGCATACAGGTATGCACCATATGTGGTGACCAAACAAGATCCATTTACTTTATGAAACTTCACAGTGTTTGATATTGTTCATTTCTTAACCCTCTGGAATTGGTTCTCACTCTTGCCATCTTTTTGGTCCCCTCATTTTCTTCTGATCACAAGAATAGTTTTTTTTAAAGGTTGTTGGAGTTCCCTTCTCTGTTATCCCCTGGCTCTTCTTTGTGTACACTTCCAGGACTATTTCATATGTTCTAATATTTTCACTGCAACCTATATGACTCATAAATGTAGTAATATAGTCCAGGCTTCAACAGTGTGACTAGTACTGCTGCCAGTACATCCATGACTGAGTACATTAATCATCTGTTTCCACCTATCTCTCTAGTATCATCTGTGGATCCCTGTCTTCAGCTTTGTGCCGTAATAAGAATAACTATTGGTTGAGCATAATTTTAACACGTTCATTTGGGTATTGTTATCTCATTTTACTGATGACATTTTGAGAAGTTAAGTAATTTGTCTCAGGTCATACAACATGGAAATTCCAAATTTGAGACCTGAGTCCATTTCTCTCCAATATCAAATTTGTGGCTTTATTTCAGAGTTCCCCCTTTTATGCTACTTATTACGGGTGAAAACGTACTGTAAATCTTTCAGTACCATAGAGTGCTTTCCATTTCAGCCTTTCCAGTTTGTTATGCAATCTAAGATTTTATAGTTGTAATAGTAAGAGTGGAGTGTGATCAGTTTTAATTCTGGAAAGTTCATATCACGAACTATTTGATAATACTGATTCCTTAGGTAGAAGCAAGTCATGTTCTCTTTGGACTCAATACATTGCTGTGTTCAGTTGTGATTTTGTTTTCCTTTTGCTCAAGGCTGCTATTCTGAGATGTACTCTTATCCCTCAATTTTTAACTCACAAGACAATATGATATCTGCTTGAAGTGTTCTCAGTCTGGAACTTTTCTTTCTCCTATCTTTGCCTTCCCCTTCCTTGGCAAACTTCTTAGTTAAGAATTTAACTAAATTCTCTTGTTTGAGAAGCTTTCCTGACCTTCCATGTATCTGGGCTGGATGATGTTCCCTTGCTCTGTATTCCTTTATTATCTTTACATTGATAGATGAACATCTTAAGCTTAAATAGTGTTACAATGTTTTGATATTTAAATTTTAGTTGCTGTCACTAGATGAGCACTTAGGGATAGAAATCATGTCTGATGAATTTTTCTGTCCATAATTCCTAATGTGTATTCATTGATTTGTTATATGAACAAATGAATAAATGATTGATTTTATTGCTAGTCTAGACTCTGCAAACCTACTGTGTATCATTGTTTTCAATTTGAAGGGTTAACATAATTTGATCAGTAATCATATGACTAAAAGACAATCTTTCATATGGTCAAACTGTCCCCAGTGATAATTTATCATATTTTAAAAAGCCATTATAACATGTACATTTTAACATGTGTTAAATAGGTTGTACATCTTTACTGTTTAAAAGTTGCATAGGCCAGGCAAGGTGATTCATACCTGTAATCCCTGCACGTGGAAGGCTGAGGCAGGGATCAGGTCAGCCTGGACTGTTTACCAAGTTCAAGACAGCCTGGGCTTCTTAGCAAGACCCTATCTCAAAACAAACAGAACAAAACTGAAAATGTTGCACAAAATTTTGAATTTTATATAATTGTTAACCTTTAAAGCCCATTCTTTTCTGACAGTTTAAATTTAACTCTTTGGTGTAATTCATGCATGATTTTTATTTGTTTTGCTAATATTATATTTATTCACCAAGACTTTAATTACCTCAAATATTTAATTAAAACCTTTTTTTCAAGTATATTTCATTATCTTAAAAATTAACGAGGTACAAAGTAGACTAGGTAAAACTAGAATCCACAGAGACTTATTTTGGTCAGTCTCAGTATTTTTTTTTTTTTCACGTGTATGTGTGGGTAAAACACAGACTACTCTTTTGAGCCTGGCTTTTCTTTCTTTTTTTTTTATTATTTTATTATTCATATGTGCATACAAGGCTTGGTCAGTCTCAGTATGATTATAATTTTTCAAAATGATTTTCATCTTTGTAGGACTTCTTTGGTTTGTTTGAATATAATAGCCTAGAAAAGAAGACAAGCTCTTAGGTAAAACCTAACATCTTTGGTAGCTCTAAAAGCAATGTTCAGTGGTGAAGGTTAGCTCGGTGGTAGACCACTTGGTCACTGTGCATAAGGCCCTGGATTTGAGCTTTAGCACCACAAAAATAAAAGTGATGTTCAAAATGTGGTATAGACATGAAACTTGAAAATTTTAAGACAAAAGTGGAGAAAACATAAGATGCTGCTGATGTAATAGAGAATGAGAGGTGATTTTCTTCAAAAAGGTGTATTAGAGAATATTTTCTGTGGCTCATGCGGATATGTGAAAGAACTCCATGATGTTCTTAGGATCTGCTGACTTGGTCAGTGTTTATTTATAGCATGGTTTTAGGTTTCTGCTCTCCATTTTCATGGCTACTAGTGCCTCCTTTTTATGGCATCCTGTGTTACTGAAATCACCTCTCCAATGCCTGTTTTCTTGCTGAACTGTAAAGTTTCTGAGGGATTATAGATGTTTTGTTTGCTACTGTATAATGGGTATTTAATATTTGTAGAATAAGTGATGCAAACAAGCAGAAAACATGGATTCATTCTCCAAAAGTATTTGTTTACGTTGATGGTAATATTTGACACTGTAGATCTTGAAATACATCAAAAATAATTAAATAATAGTTGAACTGGCTTTAATGTTAATGTTATTTTAGTCTAATCACACAATGAGTAATTTGAATTACCTAAAACATTTATTTAATGTGCTACATTATTTTTTCTGGATAATTACTTGCTATGTTTTTGTACTGAAATCTTGTTCTTTGAGGTTTGACACTTAATTCTTCAACTCATAATTGTGATTCTTCAAATAAAATAATAAAATTGTATTCTAAATATAGTATCTTTAGGCAATAAATTCATGTTTTTTTAAGTGGATAATGCAGGTGAAATTTCAACATGCATAAGGATGCCTAGACCTTACAAGCTCCCTCATCTCCATAAATTCATAATCTGCTGTAGATTTCTTTGGCATACCTACTGTCCTTCACCATCAGCTGTTTGGGGGAGGAGTGTAAGAATGCTAGTTATTGTGATTTATCTTATACTTACACTGAGTCAAGTATAGCTATAACTTCTGCTTATTTACTGTAGTGAATCGAAACATTTAGAAAAGACCAAGGCTCTTGGATAACAAGAAATTAACATTCAGAATAAATTCATTTCACTCACTGTAAAAGTCAAAGTGGTAAATGGATCACCAGGTTAATAGGACCAGTACAATAGGTTAATTCTTTTGTACCTTGCCTTGGTTTAAGGAATTCTTAGGAGTTAAGTCAGTCAGGTTCTGGTTCCCACTTGGTAATTGATTGATTGTGTGACCTTTGACAAGTTTCTTAACTGCACTTGTGTGTGTTCAGTTGAACAACTGAAATAGATGAAAGCTTTGTTTGATTTTTTTTGCTCTGTGGAGTTTAGGTATACAATCAGAAACATTTTAAACTTTCTAATTGTAGGAAGCCTCTTTAAATATCTGTAAGCGCCTAAGTTAATAATAACGTTATTAGACTGCATTTTAGATTTTCTTTGGTAAGGTACTACATATAAAAAAAACAGAGTTGAGCCTATGACCTAGCCAGCATTCTTTTCTAATGTACATTTATAAGATAAACAGATTTGTAATAAACCCTGAAATTTGATAAAATAGAAAATTGAGTCTTTAACAAAGATCTCAGGGTTAGACTCTACCTTCCTACCTCTCGTTCTCTTCATTTCTTTTCTATTGCTTAGATTATACATTGCATAATTTTATTTCATTTGTTTAGAGAACAAAAGAATGACAATTTAAAGGCATTTTTTTCATGAATTTCACTTTCAAATTTATTTTTTATTAATCACTATGCCTTCTACCATCTGACAGATTGTCTTGTATATAGTAGATGCTCTTTTAATGTTGCTTAGATGAATGAATTTGTCTTTATTCCCAATCCCAAATCAACAAAGAAAGTGATTTTTAATTTTTATTATTTTAAGAAAGGTGACTCTTGTGATGGTGGGACTTGATAATGCTGGTAAAACGGCCACAGCAAAGGGGATCCAAGGAGGTAAGCTAATATATTTGTATGGTTTTTGAACTCTATTTATTTATTTGAACTCATTTATTTATATTAAATTGCTTTATTACATGTTAATACAGTACAAACAGTGTACACATCATGGTATCAGCTTATTTTCATATTTAAGATTGGAATAGACTGATACACCTTTGCTTTAAGGATACCCATCTCCTAATTTTCTTAGCCAGAATTTAGTCAAGTAGCTACTCCTATAGAAAATGGAAGTAAAAGTATAGTTAGCCAGCATTTCTTGCTGGTTTCTTTTCTATATGATATGTCATTTTTTGGGGGTAGGGGTAGTACTGGGGTTTGAACACAGGACCTTGTGCTTGCTAGGCATATGCTTCAGTACATGAGCTCTGTTGGAAGCACATTTTGCTTTAGTTATTTTTCAGATAGTTATAGGCAGCTGTAACTTTTATTTTATTATGAGATACCCTGAGCATTTTTTGATTTAGAAAAAGAAAATAATGTATAAACAAAGCACAGAAGTGAAAGTACCTACAGAAAGAGGATATTCTAAGTATGGGAATCAAACTAGATGGTCTGATTAGCAGATCATTACGTGTGTGCTTTCCTGAATGTAAGGTTTTGAAGAATGGAAAAGGGAAGAAGTTTAGATAAGGTGTCATAGCCTACAGTTCAAATCTGCTTTGTTACCTGTTTTTATAAGGTTCACAAGCTAAGAAGATGCGCTGCATTTGTAAATGATTGAAATTTAAAGAATAATATTTCATCACACATGAAATTCAAATTTTAAGGTCCATAAATTGTCTTTAGAACACAACCTTGCTCATTTGTTTGCATATGATAATGGCTGCTTTCACCCTGCACTGTCAGAGTTGTCTGTGGTTAAGAAAGAGACTGAATCCCCCTATGTAATGAATATATCCTAATAAAAAATTTTAAAATAAAAAAAGATTTAAAAATAATAAAAAGAAAGAGACTGTATGGCCCCAAGGCCTAAAATATTCACTATCTCTTTAATAATGACAGTGAGTATTCTGGAAGGGTAAGCATAGAAGATAGCATAAAGGGTAACAAAAAGGATTTGGAAGACTACATGTCTAATTGTTACACCTAATGTTGTATAGAATTTGTGACGAAACAGTGTTTTCCTCCAACAGTAAGTTTTGCAAGATATTAATACATAAAAGCCCTCTGATTATTTAATATGCATACTATCTCATCTCAATCATCAGTGCTCAGGATATCACATAATAAAGTAAAAGTCACAGCTGCCTGTAATTTTGAGCTCTCCTCTTTTTCTTTTTTTTTCAGTTGTGTACTTCCTCTCATATTTATTTTTTAGTCTACTCCATGATGACTGATTGCTTGCCTTGAATTATTTTCAATATTCCAGTTATATAGAACTATTTGAGGTGTCCCACATGAATCTTTCTCATGCCTTTGCCTTTTTGTTTCTATTGTTCCTGGTTTTCTTATTAGATACAATATCTACTTATATTTAAAGACTTATTTTGTCCTATTGTTTTCTCCTTTATAAAAAGTATGCTTCAACCACTTCCATTCTGTTAGGAGAGTTGATTATGGAATTGACTATGTTCTCCTTTTTTCCCCCCTATTCTTAACTGTACCGCTATTTAAATGAATTTACTTGTTTATCTTTCCACTTTTCTAGACTATAAATCCTCTAAGGGCAGTTTTACTCAGTTTGGTTTCCTAGTTGTTTAGATGATGCCTCTCATGTATACTAGGCAGCCTTCTTAAAATATCTTCTATCCTTTCACTTATTTCTGGTTATTCTCTTACCTTTTGGCCTTTTCTTTTTTTCCTTTGAATTTACTAATTTCTTTTGAGATATGTCTATCTTCTATCTCACTATATTGCTATTGCTTAAGTGGAGACCCTCCATGTCTTTCATCTGTCACACCGCAATGGCTTCTTAATCTAAAAGTAGCTTTCCTATCATGAACTTTTCTTTTTCCTATCAACTTCTCTTCATCATGGCTGTCAAAGTGATTACATTAGTAGTACATAGGTTCAACTGGTATAATAGAGACCTAAAATAATAGTGGTTCAACAAGGTTGAAGTTTATTTCTTTCTGGTAACAGCCCAAGCAAAAGTAGTCTAGGACTAGTATGGCACTCTGTGATGCTAGGAACTCAGTTCTTTATCCTATTTGCTTTAACATCCCTAGTGTCCTTCCTCACCTACATGGTCTAGGATACCTTTCTACAACATGGTTTTATTTGGAAGGAAGAGGTAAAGGGTAAGGGGAGACCATGCTCCTTTCCTTTAAGAATGTGGACCAGAAGCTGCCATATATTTTAGGCTGTATGTCTTTGACTACAAGCAGTGATGTTCTGGACCCCATCCTATTTCCTCATATTGGCTCATGTCAAATGGCAACAGTCAGTGATACATATCTCTTCCAACTCTGTGTTCAGGTGCCACCACAGTATCTGATGTTACCATGGAAATTGACAACTACTACATTCTAAGGTTCCCCCCCACCTCCAAGTTGGTAGTTAAATATTTAATAACACACTACTAACTGGAACTACCTCTCATGGCTATTACATGCCATTGAGGTTGGGAATTATAATCTATCCTAAATAGTCATGTGCCTAGATAAAAGAAAAAATTCTGACTGTCCATTATTGTTTCCTAATAGGAAACTATTGTTATTTTAAGTATAAATATTTTTTTCTGTGAATTGGTCTTTTGCTTTGTTGGATAATAGCATATAAGAATCCTTGATTTTTAAATAATGCTTCATCTAAAATAGTTCCTCAATAAATTATTATAAGGATGGATGGTTAAATATATCCAAGGACAAAAGAAGGATGGATGTGTGGATAGCAGTTGCAGCTATCTTAGCAGTGTTGTGATGTAGTATTGAACTTTATGTGCTTTGTGGTGAATGCTAAGGATAAAAAGACATAATCCCACCTGTTGGAAAGGTATAGTCTATTATGAGGGTCATGTAGAAGATTGGATATTATTGTAGTGAATTACTATCATAAAAGGTAATACTATAAGTAGAAAGGAACCATCAGATAAGGATTTATTGGGAAAGTTGTATGTAAACATTTAGTCTTATGTTTTGAAACACAAGTCTTAAGTCTGGATCAGAGGAGAGTTGAGGGTATTCCATTTGTAGTTCTGAAGACCTGGATTCCAGTAGGAAAGGCCTTGAAAGTCTTGAGAACCTGGATTTGAGTCCTGGCTCTAACTATCATATAACCTTGGAAAAATTTTTTTAACCTGAATTGGTTTGCTGGGAGTATTGCACAGTATCTTATCTGTGCTTACATTGTTTGTTCTGCCTAGAATGTTCTTCCTTTTCTGTTTACAATTATGTAGCTTTTAAACTTTATTCGTGCTCCACTTCTTCTCCGAAGACTTTCTGGGCCATAACTCACCACCCCTTCCTTTTTATCCTCTTCTTGAATTCCCCCATGCTATCCTCTCCAGGCTTTTTCACAGAACATGCAAATTTAGTGTTACTCCATTAATATTCTGTTTTTCTCCTTTGCACTACATGTTCTTTGAAGACAGCAACCATATTTTATCTTTGCACCCTCATGCCTAACAAAGTTCTGGTACCAAGTGTGCATTTGGTCATGTTAGTTTCTTCATCCAAGTTCTAATACAGTGGATTTATTTCCACCAGTGATTTCCTGGGAAATCATATCATTTCATAACCAAAATAAACCAGCCTATTTTATTTGTGGAAACCAGTTCTGGCCCTGACTATCTCCACATTTTAAAATATGTAGTGTAACCCTATTCCTGGAAAATCAGACTGCTTGTATTAGGTCTAACTTGCCTTTTTGTAGATAATGAAGGTATGAGCAAAAATGTGATTTTTCATGGCTCTGTTAACTTTCTCGCATGTAGGGTAAACTGCACTAAGGTACTTTTTTAAAGGGAGTGATGCATTACAAGTCTATTTCTCAGTGACACTTAAGCTTAGTAAACGTCTTTCAAATTTATCTTTGAAACAAAAAATGTTTTGCTAGATGTATAAATCAGACCCTCCAAACTAGCATTGTTCAGTAGAGTTTTTGGCAGTTATGGGAATGGTCTATGTTAGCTATCCACCAGGGTGGGCCACTAGCCACATGTGGCTTTGGAGAAATCTAGCTGATACAGCTGAGGAACTGAGTTTTTAATTTTATTTCGTTTTAATTTTTTTAAAAATTTGAAAGCCTCATATAGTTTTTGGCTACTGTTTTAACATTGCAGCTCTAAACAAAGTCCTGTGGGGTAATATTTATAGTACTTTCTAGTGATGAAGAGAGAATAGAAATGACAAACATAAAGCCTGGTCATTTTTCTGTAAATATGAGTCAGCTGCTTTTGTTGACCATTTATGAGTTCTTTCTTTTCCATCTCTTTGTTTCTATTTTCATACTTCTGAGATGTGACTGTCACTCATTTTTAGTCAATATAGAGATTTTCAAGAAGATTCTTAACAAAACACCACTTTATTTACCTTAATTGTATCATTGGTCTACCAAATACTTTCAGTGGCTCTTCATTTTCTGTCTTCAGGAAACTTTTCTGTCTAGCTTAGCCATACATTCATAATATTAAGGACTTGTTGGGTGTGGTAATGTGTGTCTGTAATTTTAGTACTTCATAGGCTGAGGCAGGATGATAGTGAGCTTAAGGTCAGCCTGGGCTACATAGGGAGCCCCTGTCCCAAAAATAAAGCAAAACAAGGTAAATGAACAGTATTTAAGACTTATTCCAGTCACAATGTTCCGTTTGTTGCTACTTATTTGACTTTGCTATTTCCCTTACATAGATTACTCTTGTCCTTGTTTAAATCCTACGTAGATTTCCAGACTAAGCCCCACCTCCCATGTGAAGTCTATGATGACCCTCAGGGATCTTTCTTTAATCTTTTATTGTCATTCCTACTCCTTAGACATTGTAATCATGAGCATCCTGTATCTTCTTTGTGTTGTCATATATGGAAACCTCCTCACCTCCAAACTCTCCAATTATAAATTTCTTAGAGTATCAAAAACATGTTCCTGTAGAAATAGCATAATTTATGCATTGTTTCTAATGGCCCTCAAGGTCTTTTTATTCCCATTGTGTCTTTAATTAACATAATTAAAGAGTTGTTTTACTCATCTCTCATTTTTTTTTATTTTGCCAAAGTTCTTTTATTCTTTGAATGTTTATGATTTTCTTTATCACTCCACAGAAGTTGTGATAGTCTACAGGAATGGCTGTGCATAGCAAAAGTAAAGCCCCAGAGTTTAACCCCAGTAACACCAAAACAAAAACAACAAAAAACAAAACAAAACCAAAAATCAAAAAACCTTCACAACTTTTATTGTTATAAGTTAGAGAAAAACTAGCTTCAAAGGGAAGAGCTCATTCATTCATTCATTCAATTCATTCATTCATGGGTACTTAAGTACCTATTATACCTTAGGTGACAGGATTATAGAAGTTAAAAAAAGAAGAAATTTCTGTGTACATGAAGTAAAAGTTCCAGTTGAATATCTTATAGTATCTAGCCTCCCTCCAAACCAGTGTGCTTGAATGGTGTCAATTGCATAAGTGATAAACATTCTACTTAGTAGTAAAGTATAATGAGTAACACTTTTAATGTTATTTAAGTCGTAAAGTTAAATTAATATTATTAAATTAAAATCTAAAGATTGTTTCTTTTGTATCATTTGAAACAGAATACCCTGAAGATGTAGCTCCTACAGTTGGATTTTCTAAAATTGACCTTAGACAAGGGAAGTTTGAAGTCACCATCTTTGATTTGGGAGGTGGAAAAAGAATTCGGGGAATTTGGAAGAATTACTATGCTGAGTCCTATGGGGTAATATTTGTTGTGGATTCCAGTGATGAAGAGAGAATGGAAGAGACAAAAGAGACAATGTCAGAAGTGCTAAGACATCCTAAGATATCAGGAAAGCCTATATTGGTGTAAGTAACATGAGTTTATTGTAAACCTAGGGGCATTAGCCAATAGAGAAATTTATCTGTTACAAATTACTAAGTAAGCTAAAATAGTCATGCATTAGAGTAATAAAATGTATGTAATTAATTACCTATCTCTTGCTAATATACTGAGGCCTTGTTGTAATTCTGTCCATAGTGATAAAGAGTTAAGGCTATGTTATAAACAAGGCTTATAATCAGATCTCTTAGGTATTCAAATATAAACTCTTTGTTTTATTTGATAATTTATTTTGTACTGAAGTTTGCATTTTGAAATAGCCTGTTAACAAGGTTCTACTTGGAAGGCAGAGGTAGGAGAAACACAGCCTGGCAAAAATGTGAGACCCTATCTCATAAAAAAAACTAAAAGCAAAAGGACTGGGGATTTGGCTAATGTTCATTCCCTAGTACCACATAAGGAAATACACACATGCACACAAAACAAGGTTCTACATTTTTTTCTTTCCATTTTTTCCCCCTCTTTTAACAACATATTTTTTTTGCTGTCCTTTTTTGTGGAAAGTTGTCTTTTTTCTTGTTTAAATTATTTAAAAGCTTCAGTATTCCAGTGACACACTGATTTCTCAGTGTTTACTTCTATATTTCTATATTGCACATATGATTTGTATCATTATCACCTTAGGCATATGCCTATATTATTTTGCGCCTGTACCTGAACATTTTAAAAAACTAAGTGACTGAGGACTGGCAGAGTGGCGCAAGTGATAAGAGCACCTGCTTAGCAAGCATGAAGTCTGAGTTTAAATCCCAGTGCTGCCAAAAAAACAAAAACCAAAAAACCTAAGTGACTAAGGACTTTTATACTCATAGCATTTATGCATAGTAAACACCAGATGGTGCTATAACAATGAGACATAGTGAAAATTTCTTCATTAAGTTGCTCTAACTTGAAGCAAACTGAATATTTGCCCTTGCCATTTTTGCTTTTTCCTCATTCTTGTGATTCATTATTAAGGACTTAGAAAAAAAACCATCAAATTGTTGTGGTTAGATGAAAAATTCTTAAAGTTCTCAGTAGTCTTGAGAAACTCTGTAGTAAATTGAGATTTTTAAATGAAGCAGTTTGGAAGCTTTGATTAAAAAAGCTAAAATATTATTTCATAATTTATTAGTAAACCTTATATTTTTAAACTTATAAGTTTAATTGGGGAAGATGGTTTCTATAATCAGTTCTCATCTTTATTGAATCTGAAGTAAAATATTAATATGAAATGTGAACTTTGTTGAATCCTGTGGGCTAAATTGGTCTCTACAAATGTTGAAGCAGATAATCAGTGATTTCTAAAGTAAAACAATATTGACAGGTATCGGTCATTTGTAAAATAATTGTGTGTGCATTTTAACCACATTTTTTGTGCACTTTTCCATCTATGCATATATTAATTCAACAAATGTTTATTGACCATCAGCTGTGTGCTAGGCATTATCCTAGTGAGGGGGATGTGTTTGGAAAAAAAAAAAACAGAGAACTATGCACTACCTCTGGAAATTACATTCTAGGGGGAGAGGTACACAAAAATATATGACTAATTATCTTATACATTAGCTTATAGGTGTATTGGAACAATGAAGCAGGGAGTGGAAGATCAAGAAGCCTATGATGGAGGAGGTGATAAAGATGCATTGCTCTCATGATTAAGATAATCATAGTAGGGCTTGCTAAGATGATATTGGAGGGAGTTAGTCATGCAGCTATCTGTGAAAAAGCCCCAGAGTACAGCAGGCAATTTTTTTTGTTGTTGTTGTTTTTTAATTTTTATTTTATTCATATGTGCATACATTTCTCTCCCCTTCCCCCCCCCCCCCCGCCGCCGCCTCCTTCCTTCCCCTCCCTTAACCCCTCTTACCCCTCACTACCAGGCAGAAACTATTCTGCCCTTATTTCTAATTTTGTTGAAGAGAGAGTATAAGCAGTAATAGGAAGGACCGAGGGTTTTTGCTAGTTGAGATAAGGATGTTGACTCGCATTGATTTCCTGTTCATGTGTGCTACCTTCTAAGTTAATTCTTCTTGAACTAAACTTTTCTCTAGCTCCTGGTCCCTTCTCTTATTGGCCTCAGTGGAGCAGGCAATTGTCAAGTAAACACAGTGACTACCAAGTAATAAAGTAACTGTCAGCAAACATATCATTTCAATTCTGTCTCCTTTCTTAGCTTATAAATTTTCTGAGTAGGGAAAAAAATATGCAACATGAGTGATGTTTTACCATTATAATTGTGCAGTCAGTGAAGACTTACTAAGATACCACAATTAATTTTGAATATGATAATTTGTTTACAAAATATAAAATGGTTTGCCATTTGTGTATCTTTGCTCTAGGGAGTTTTTTAAATAGATTTTTATTTTAATACTTTATATTAATAAAATAATACATATTTATTTAGACATGTACTCATACATGTTTATAGGATACAATGTGACATTTCAGTACATGCATATGATGTATAATGATCAGGTCAGGGTAATAGCCCTATCTATCACTTCATAGATTGATCATTTCAAAGTCCTTTCTACTAAATATTTTGAAGTATTCAATTAATTGTTATTAACCATTGTTATCCAACTGTGCTACAGAACATTGACCATTTATTTCTCCTGTTCAGGGTGTACTGAATGCCTATATCCATTAATGGACCTGTCTCCATCCTCCCAGCCCCATTATCTTTCCAGTTTCAGGTACCTGGGATTTAGCTCTGTTCAGTGGGGTCAGGTCTCTGGCAGCTCTGTATATTGTGTCTGCCATTTTCCTTATGTTGCCTAGGGATATGACTGCCATTGTGTACCCCTGTGGCTGTGGTGCACAGTAAGGGAGTCCCTGCCAGTGTCTGAAGGCTGTCTGGGACCAGGGGTACACACATGTATGGGTCCTGACCAGGTACTGTTGGTGTTCAGGTGCTGTGTAGGTGACCTTGTGGGGCCTCCAGTGGGCCCACCTGCTATGAGCAGTCTGCTCAGATGCTTCCCAGGGCTTTAGTTAAATGGGCAGGGTTACAGGGAATCACAGGAAAATGGTCTGAACTTCTGCAAATGGGTTGCTCATGTGTTTTCTTTGTGCTGCAGGAGGATAGGGTAGGATATCTTGTTGTTTCCCAGGGGTTTTGCCTGCTTAGCTACTTCCTGGGGTCATGTGTAGGTAGATGAGTCACCTAGCTGCCTGAGGACCTACCTGGGCAAAGCTGCTCAGGGCTGGCTGCTAGGCTCCTTCCTTAGGATCTGAGGGTGTGTAGGCCCGGCTGCCTATTTGCTTCCAAGGCAGTGGGAAATTGGACAGAGCTACCCGGCTATTTTCTGGGGTCCTCAGCAGGCTGAGCCACTTAGGGTGGACTGCCCAGGTGCTTCCCAGGGCCTGAAAAGGTGGCTAGGTTTTCCTGGCTGGTTCACATGGCAGAGTTAGCTCAGCTGCTGGCAGCATCTACTTGATCTCTTACCAGGATCTCAGGGAATTAGAATCTCAAGATATCTTTGTGCAAGAGGAGCTTGGTTGGGAAGGACATACTTGGGCTAGGCTCTTTCTCTGGCATTGCAGCTCTGAGGTTACCCAGAAGTTCCCAGTGTGGGCTGAGGGTCTGTGAGGACTTAGGGCTATAGGCTACAGCTATATTTGGTGTGAGTGGGGACTGCTGCGGGTCTTCACCTTACTCTTTCCTGGTGTAACAGAGTACTCCTTGGTTCAGGGTTGCTGTTGAGAGATGGGAGAGTTGATACTGTGTACTTAGTTCTCTGCTTTCTAAGGCTGTTGTGTATCTCCATGCTCTACATCCTCTCTGTACTCCACCACTGTGCCTCAAATGCTCTTGTGAAATAGCCACTACTATCATTTTCATGAATTTTATATGCATATTTTTTAAAAAGTATAGTGTGTGCAGTATATAAAATTTTGTATCCCACTGCTTTTTTTTTGATACTTATAAACATTTCTTGAAAATGTTCAAGCCTCATATTTACAAGTTATCCTATTTGCTTTTTTCTTTCCCACCTACAATTAATTCATCTTAGTGATACTTCTTTCTTAATATCACCTGAGTATCTTCACTATCACCTTCAAGGGAATAGTGAGGCTGTAGCCCCTATCTCTTTCTCTTTTGCTTCCTGGCCTAACTCTGCCACTCTTTCACTATGATATGCTGCCTTACCACAGGTCTACATCCAACTGGGCCAAACTGTCTTTGACTGGAACCTCTGAATTTATAAATCAAAATAGCCTTTTTTTAATCTCATCTTTAACTCACTGCTATTTTACCACTAAGTCCCTGCTGGACTGTCACTTTAATGAAGTAACTCATACCTCCTTGGAGTCTTTATACCGGTTTTTTTTTTCTTTTATTATTCATATGTGCATACAAGGCTTGGTTCATTTCTCCCCCCTGCCCCCACCCCCTCCCTTACCACCCACTCTGCCCCCTCCCTGTCCCCCCCACCCCCTCAATACCCAGCAGAAACTATTTTGCCCTTATTTCTAATTTTGTTGTAGAGAGAATATAAGCGATAATAGGAAGGAACAAGGGTTTTTGCTGGTTGAGATAAAGATAGTTATACAGGGCATTGACTCACATTGATTTCCTGTGTGTGTGTGTTACCTTCTAGGTTAATTCTTTTTGATCTAACCTTTTCTCTAGTTCCTGGTCCCCTTTTCCTGTTGGCCTCAGTTGCTTTTAAGGTATCTGCTTTAGTTTCTCTGCGTTAAGGGCAACAAATGCTAGCTGAATTCTATCAGACCTTTAAAGAAGAACTGATACCAACCCTCCTTAAACTGTTCCACGAAATAGAAAGGGAAGGAAAACTGCCTAACACATTTTATGAAGCAAGTATTATACTTATCCCAAAACCAGGCAAAGACACCTCCAAAAAGGAGAAATATAGGCCAATCTCCTTAATGAATATTGACGCAAAAATCCTCAACAAAATAATGGCAAACCGAATTCAGCAACACATCAAAAAGATTATTCACCACGACCAAGTAGGCTTCATCCCAAGAATGCAGGGGTGGTTCAACATAAGAAAATCAATAAATGTAATAAACCACATTAACAGAAGCAAAGACAAAAACCACTTGATCATCTCAATAGATGCAGAAAAAGCCTTTGATAAGATCCAACACCATTTCATGATAAAAGCTCTAAGAAAACTAGGAATAGAAGGAAAGTACCTCAACATTATAAAAGCTATATATGACAGACCTACAGCCAGCATTATACTTAACAGAGAAAAACTGAAACCATTCCCTCTAAAATCAGAAACCAGACAAGGATGCCCACTATCTCCGCTCCTATTCAACATAGTACTGGAATTCCTAGCCAGAGCAATTAGGCAAGAAGAAGGAATAAAAGGAATACAAATAGGTAAGGAAACTGTCAAAATACCCCTATTTGCAGACGACATGATCCTATACCTTAAAGACCCAAAAAACTCTACTCAGAAGCTTCTAGACATCATCAATAGCTATAGCAAGGTAGCAGGATATAAAATCAACATAGAGAAATCATTAGCATTTCTATACACTAACAATGAGCAAACTGAAAAAGAATGTATGAAAACAATTCCATTTACAATAGCCTCAAAAAAAAGCAAATACCTAGGTGTAAACCTAACAAAAGATGTGAAAGACCTCTACAAGGAAAACTAAACACTTCTGAAGAAAGAGATTGAGGAAGACTATAGAAAGTGGAGAGATCTCCCATGCTCATGGATTGGTAGAATCAACATAGTAAAAATGTCGATACTCCCCAAAGTAATCTACATGTTTAATGCAATTCCCATCAAAATTCCAATGACATTCATTAAAGAGATTGAAAAATCTACTGTTAAATTTATATGGAAACACAAGAGGCCACGAATAGCCAAGGCAATACTCAGTCAAAAGAATAATGCAGGAGGTATCACAATACCTGACTTCAAACTATATTACAAAGCAATAACAGTAAAAACAGCATGGTGGTGGCACAAAAACAGACACGAAGACCAGTGGAACAGAATAGAGGACCCAGATATGAAGCCACACAATTATAATCAACTTGTCTTTGACAAAGGAGCTGAAAATATACGATGGAGAAATAGCAGCCTCTTCAACAAAAACTGCTGGGAAAACTGGTTAGCAGTCTGCAAAAAACTGAAACTAGATCCATGTATATCACCCTATACCAATATTAACTCAAAATGGATCAAGGATCTTAATATCAGACCACAGACTTTATACCGTTTTTTTATGACTGGAGTAAACCCTTCCTTGTCCTGTTCATTCAAACTTTTATTTTATTTTTAAATTTTTTATTCATTTATTCACATGTGCATACTTAAATATTACCTTTCAGAAAGGCCTTCATTGACCACCCACCCTAATTTAGCATTCCTGATAGCTTCTGTCTCATCTGATCACCCCTACAAGTCTCTTCCTAGAACTTAACATCATCTCACACTTGTATTAGTTTGTTTTCTGCTTTCTCCACTAGAATGTGAGTTTCAAAATATATTCCTGTGTGAGTTCAAACCATATACCTAGGCCATAGTTTAGTCCCTGGCATGATCATAAAGTGATGGTAAGCATTCAAGAGTACATTTGCCTTTTACTTCTATTTTAATCTGCCAAACCCCTTGGTCCGTAATTCAGTATCTTGAATGGACCTTAGTTCAAAAAAAAAAAAAAAAAAAAAAGCCTTAACTCACCTGGTGAGGCCTCAAGCATTATTCAGCTGCCAGGTACCAGTTAGATTCTTCATCAAGTACATGGTCGAGTTTTCCAGGACCTGTTAATCACTAAGTTAACTCACCTATCTCAGGATAAAAGATTTGGTAGACATTCTAGCTTGACTTTGTTTTATTGTAGCATCATTTGAAGTCTTGTTTTATATAATTCTTAACTACCAAGATATTCACAAATGAACCAAATGGATTAAGTAGAACATTCTCCTCTTTCCCCCCATACTGGAACTTGACCTCAGTCCTTACATTTGCTAGGGAAGCCACTCAAGCCACACCTCCAGCCCTTTTTGCTTTAAATTATTTTTAAGATAGGGTCTTGCTTTTTGCCTAGGGCTGGACTCAGACCATGATCCTCCTATCTTTGTCCTCTGAAATAGCAAGGATGACAGGTATGCACCATCAACACCTAGCTTATTTGTTCAGATGGGATCTCACTATCTTGTTGCCAGGGCTTGGCTTGAACCATAATCTTTCCATTCTCTACTTGCCAGTGCTTCCTGGCATTACAGGTGTGAGCCACTGTGTCTGGTCTACCATACTGTTTTTAGTTTAATTAGTTAAAGACTTGTCTTATGTCACAAAGCTTCAAAAGTTTCTGTAATTCTAGTGGGATAAAAGTTAAAGGGAAAATTGAAACTTAGCAATGATGAAATGTATGTGAATAGATCTGAGAACTGAAGAAAAACAATACAGGACACTGAAATGTGGTCATCCTTCACTCTAAAGCTGGAAGAATTTCTAAAATAACTTCTTTATTTTGAGCAACAGCATGGACAGCAGTAACAACATAGTGCCTTAAAAGGATTTCTTCTTTTGTATTTTATAGCTAGTCCAAATTTCTCTTTAGTGTTGTTAACATAATCTTTAGTACTGCTCACAATCATTTCAATATTGTTGATGTTCTCTTCTTGTTCCTCTACCATAAGAGAAATTTCAATGAAAAGATTCCTTAAATCCTTTATTTGGTTCTCCAGATTAACAAGTTCCTTGTGTCTCTGTTCAATTTCTGAGAGTTGTGCTTTAGTGATAATGATTTCTGCAAGTAAGCTTTCATTAAAAACTTCCCATTTTCCTTGATGAAGCATATCATTTACTTCTTCTTCAGGAACTTCTTTTCCAGCAACTTCAAGCTGACGGAAAATAAATGTCTTGCACTTCTCCTGCTTTGCCTCTATTGTGTCATTGTACATAAACATGGTTTGCTGAAAATGGTGAAACATCACAGCATACTGAGATTTAAGTATCCTTGTGATCACTGATGATGGACCATTTTCGACCTCTGACTTTTTAACTTCTTTAACTAAGTCACATAAACCTCTATTAATGTGTTCTGCTTGGGTTTTTATCTCCTTTGCGATGCTAGAGTCTCTCTTAAGTAGGCTAAACCTTCTCATTGAAGCTACCAGACTTTTCTGTTGCTGTCCATATCTTTGAACATCATTTGCCAAATTGTTAATATTCTCTTGTAGCTTTTGGATCTCATTTAGGTGTTTCTCAGCTACAGGCTCTCTTTCATAAACAACAGCTTGCTGCATAAATATCCCTTGATCCTCTGCTTCTGTTGTCAGTATCTGACCATCTCTAGACAGTTCAATTTCTTTTGTTCTTTGCTTTAGTTCTTGAAGTCGGTCTTTCATCTTCCCTTTCCCCCTAAGAAGCAAAAAAATGATTATATTGAATAAAGAGATGTTTGTATTTTTTCCTCAGTAGTAATTGGCTTGAGATAACTATCTGTCTCCCAGCAAAAATCCTGCTAGTTTTCCAAAAAGAAGTTTAAAAAGTTAGGAAAATCAATAGGGCATGGTAGAAATCATTTCAGCACTGAGGAGCCTGAGACAAGGAAAGTTCAAGGGCAGGTTGGGCTACATAGCAAGATCTTCTCTCCAAAAACCATTTTTTTCCCCTTAGGACAAACATAAAGATCATCAAACATAAGGATCATCAAAATGGCCAGGTGAGTGGTTCATTCCTGTAATCCTAGCTATTAGGGAGGCAGAGACCCAGAGGATCTATCTCAGTGCAAGACTAGCCTAGGCAAAAAGTTCATGAGACCCCCATCTCATCCAATGAAACCTGGGTATGGTGGTGCACACCTTATCCCAGGTGTGTAGAGGGATTACACAGGATTGCAGTCCAGGCTGGCTCAAAAGTAAATGTGACATCTTATCCCAAAATAACCAAAATAAAAAGGGATAGGGGCATGGCTCAAGTGATACAGCGTCTGCCTAGTGAGCCAAGGTCCTGAGTTCAGTATCCCCCTCCTCGCAAAATCACTGAAATTGGAAAAGTAATGTAAAATATAATGTGGGGTGGCTGAGTTGAGTACAATATCTGAGAAAATAGTGATGTGGAAACAATTGGCACCAAATAAGTTCTTCAGTGTCATTATACTCTCGGTGACATGTACTTTTTGTGTGTATGTGTATGTGTGTTACTGGGGCTTGAACATCTATGTTCTAAAACTGAGAAATTCTATATATAAGAGGGATTAGAGGGTGGTGGGTGGAAATTACATAAATAGAGGTTTGATTCAGTATAAAGAAGACTTTTTAAGCACCGGAGGCTTCTCTAAGATGAAATGAACTGCTTCCCGAGGTGATAAGCTTGCCATCACAAGAGTTATTCAAGATGTTCTTGAATTATGACCCAGTTAAGAATATTATTGAATTCATGTCTGCATTGAGTAAAAATTTAAACTAATGTCTTGATAAGATTTCATTGGTTTAAAAGGACTAGCATTTCGTCAAATAATTATTGAGGCTGCTGTATGCAAAGTTTTAAATATTGTATATGCTCAACTATTCTAGTCCTGAGGAATTGATAGTCTGCAGGGAAATGAACAATATTGATTTTAAAAAGTGAATATGATACTATTAGGTCTTGATGGGACAATCTGGCATGACATCATTAAAGAGATATTTGAACTGTGAAATGTCAATATTAAGAAGGCAGCTAGAGAACTAGAGAAAAGGTCAGTTCAAGAAGAATCAACTTAGAATGTAACACATTTGTACATGGAAGCAATGCGAGGAATCTCCCTGTATAGCTATCCTTATCTCAACTAGCAAAAACGCTTTGTCCTTCTTATTATTACTTATACTCTCTCTTAAATAAAATTAGAGATAAGGGCAGAACAGTTTCTGCCTGGAAGTGAGGGGGTGGGGAGGAGAGGAAGAGGACAGGGGGTAGGAGGGGAAGAAATGACCCAAACATTTTATGCACGTATGAATAAACAAAAAAAACAAAAGGCAGCTAGATAGAGACAAAGAAGATAGTCTTGGTATGGGAGATGGATGCCAAGGCAATGAGTGAGACTGATAGGTTTTAAGAACAAAATGAGTATCTTTTAGAGTAACATCAGAGGAATGAAGTCAGGTAGGTAGGGACTAGATCAAGCCAGTAAGGAGTTTAGATTTTTTTAGAAAAAAGTTAAAGGATAAACGTGGCATTGGTGTGATCTATATTTTTTAAAAGTGTTTTTACTTTCTACGTAAGGAATTTTTTCCCACGATAAAACAAGTAGTTCACAGGAGAGACTTAGGGGATAAAAGTAGAGATGGAATAAATGGGATCCATCAGGGTGTATTTTTGGAGGTAGAAGCAATAGGACTTGATTTTAACCTGTGGGTAGCACTTAACATAGTTTTTGAAACTTTCGAGGAAAGTGTTTATCTTGGTTTTCTTTTTACCTTTTTGACTCTCCCTTCATCACTCCCTCCCAACTCCTCCTTCTGATCTCCTGCATCTTATGCTTCCATCATCATTTTCCAGTCCCATGGTAATAAATACCATCTGTTAACTGAGGACTTATATTTGTATCTCTAGTGTAGGCTGCTTTTAAAATGCCTGTCTACTTCACAAGCTCTATTTGGATACCTATGTCTAAAATAAGTTTATGATCTTCCTCAAAACCCGTATACTTCCCCAGTTTAGTAAATGGCAACTCTATTCTTTCAGCAGCTCAGACTAAAACTTTGGAGCCATTCTTTACTATATCCAAACTAATGGCATCTTATTTCCAAACTGGAAATCTTGTCAACCTCTCTTTTAAGTATATTTAGGGCTGGAGGCATGGCCCAAGCAATACAGCAACTGCCTTGCAAATGTGAAGCCCTGAGTTCAAACCCCAGTACCACCAAAATAGATAGATAGATAGATAAAGTATTTTAGGATCCAGTCATCCCTTCCCCTCTGCAGAGTCCCATTTACCATTATTTCTTAGTTGGATTATTGCAGTAGTCCCCTAAGTGCTCTTCATTTTGCCTCTTTTGTAGCATCCCCTCTAATCTTTTTCTTAACACAGAACTCAGATAAAATGTAAGACAGCTCATGTTATTATTGTGCTAAAAATCCTCTTTTGATGCTATCTCTTAGAGGAGAAGTGAGATCCTACAAGGTTTTACATGATTTCTCTACCCTTCATATTATCTCTTTGATTTCACCTCCTAAAAGTACATTAGTATACTATTACTTATTTCCTCCATTAAAATGAAAACCAAGTGATTTTAATTAGAAAAGATTCAGAAATGACATTCTCATTTTTCATGTTTTCCCATTTGAAAACCATACCCAATAAGTTAATTTATAAATTACATGTAATTGTTATTTAAAATTAATTATAGCTAATTATAATTAATATAATCCTTAATATAAAATTCAAATTTTAATAAAGATAAATTGAAACTTTTTAAATTTATCAGATAATTTAACTTGTAATTCTGTGTGAGTTTTAAGTACATTTCATTTATGATGCCTAATCCTATTTTAACAGGCAAGGTATATTTGACTATGATACTGTAATAACCAATTCTTGAATCTTAGTGGCTAAAAATTGGAGTTTCTTGCTAACATTTTATGCCATGATGGGTTTTTAGGAGGCTGTGGTCTTCATCTTAGTTACTAGCAGACTTAAGGTCCCCCTTTCTGAATGTGGCTGTCAAGATAAGAGGGAGAAGGAGTGCTGGAAAGACTTTCACAGGCACTGAACTATCCTAAAGCGATGCATGCCATTTGGTTTACAACTTCTCAACCAGCTGAAAGTAGAGGACTATGAAATGTAGTTCTCTCTCATTCACCAAACCAGATCTCTTCCATACCCATCAAATATTTCAATTTGATTTTATAAGAAATCTTCCAAAGTTAGCCAATTTTCTCATTTTTCTTATAGGGACACTTAAGAAGTCATGGTGAGCATGATTAGTGCTCTAGGCACTAGTCTAGTGCACTAGTCTAGTGCTTCCTCCATTATAAGATGTATTATGTAAATTTCCTAGAATTCATATTAAATAAAGCGGGGATCATCCATATGATCTTCTGTTCAGTGTTCTATCCAACATTTGATTATTACACTGGTACAGATATTTAAAGACACCTAAAAATGTTGAAAAGTAGTAGACACTTTTTCTTATGTGGCATCTTTATGAAAACCAAATTACCTCTCATAATTTATTATATACTTCTGGGGCTGGGGACCTGATTCACTGCAGGTCCTGAGTTCAAACCCCAGTACCAGAAAAAAAAAAGAGAAAGAAATGTGTATACTTCTGATAAAGACTAATTTTCTTTCCACTGTGGGGGAATTCAATTTGAAGCCAAATAAATTAGTAACCTATTTTGAATAGCTCCTTACTGTTCTTTGCATGGAAAGTATTCAGCACATCTTTGTGCCTGTGCTGTTTCTGGCATTACCATGTTAATACTGAAAATAAATTCCTTCCCAAAGTGTTCAAGATGTCATGTGACATTAGCTTTTGTAAATGTGATTTTTCTTTTTCTCAAATTACACAGACACAGTTTAAGAAATCAAATCACTTGAAACTTGAAAAGATATGCCCCCTCACTCTCCTGCACGCCTCACTTCCAATTCACCTTTCCCCAAAGGCAGTCATTGTCAGTTTTGTAGCTATATTTTGCTTTTAAACTCCCTATTTCTAAATAATTTGTTTACATAGATGTTTCTGCCTTTTCAGTTTTGGATATTTTGTTATGTTCAATTTCCACTATGAAAGAAGTGAATTAAACTTTCTCTTCTACTCTCATTCTTCCCTAAGTTCCCCTTATCAACATGGGGTTGTATTATGATTTTTGGTTAATAAATGTCCTATATTTATATTGTTATAACTACCCAAGTATTACTTATGTTGTAGTTACATAAAGTATTATGATTATAGTTTCTTTCTCAGGTACTTTTTAGCTTTTTCAATGGAAATAAATAAAGAATATATGTCTTTGTTTTAGGAAAACTTTTTATTAGGGTCTTCATATATACAAAAAGGTACCCAAAACATAAATGCATAGTTTGATGGTTTTTCATAAAGTCAATGCCTCCTTTTTAATACAAATCACAAAGCATGCAACTTTTATATTTTTCTTGTAATTAATTACTTAAAATTTCTAGCTGCTTAATTTCTAAAACTGAACTAAACTAAAAATGTCCTCAATATATTTAAATATAGTAGACATTTTAAAATCTTAGTATTTCCTCTTTTGAGGCTTCTTTCCTGGGACCCACTAATGTGACTTCTTATGCTGGAATTTTCCCCTGTCTTTTACATATCTTGTGATTCCTAGTTCATCTTCATTCTTGGTCTATCCTGTTCATTTGAGGATATAGTGTAGTTTCTTTTTAAAACATGAATGTTGTGATAACTTCCGTTTCTGAAAATGATTTTAGTCTATCCTGATATCTGAATAATACATTTCCTGTGGGTATAGTTCTTTTTTTTTTAAATTTGGTGGAACTGGGTTTGAACTAAAGGCCTCATAGGTAGGCACTCTACCACTTGAGTCACTCTACCAATCCCCATCTGGATATAATTCTTACTTGAAAAATATACTTCCTTAAAATTTTGGAAGCTTTGCTATTTTATCTTCTAGCTTCCCAATATTATGCATAAGATCTATTATTAGACTTTTTTCTTTATCCCTGGTGTTCAGAAATTTTATAATAATGTGACTTTGGTTGTGTCTTCTTGAATTTATTTGAAACATTTAGTGAGTCTTTTAAATATGGAAATTCATCTTTTTTTCAGTCTAATTTCTTTAAGAACTTTATCTTCTCTATTTCCTTTGTTTCTTTTATTCTCCCTTTGGACACTAAGAAAATTAAAGTAACAGCAGAACCCAAGATAACCAATATCTAAATAAGAGGATTTTTTGAGGTGTGGTGGTGCTGGGGCTCGAACCCAGAGCCCCTTGCATGCCTGACAAGCACTCTATCACTGCATAGCCCCATTCCCAAAGAAGGGTAATTTTAAAGTGACTTGCCAAAGGCCACACAACTAAAAGGTGGAAGAGCCTACATTTAGATATGTCTACCCGATTCCTTTCATTTTTCTTACCCCTGTTCTATAATAAGTAGGAATAGATTATTCTAGTAAAATATACTATAAATAATGCTAATCAAATATAGTATGTTACTGGCATAAATACTGTATTTTAAGGAAAAATTCTAGCAGGAAGTGATATAGAATATCATATCTAAATAATTCAGTTATTTGCATTTTTATTATAATCTTTAGTATAATCAGACCAAGTTAAGCACTTTATATATGAAAGAAAGAATTAACTCTGATCTAACAGCCTGTCTCACAGAAATTCTGTAAGGATTCTTGAATCCTGTTCTTGGCACTGTGTGAAGATGATGATTCTTAAATTTTCTTCTGCTTCAGGCCATAGTCATAATCTGGGGTAGAATTTTTGTCAAATTTGGGCATAAAATTGTTTCCAGTGTTAAATGTAAAAGTATTCTCTAAGCCAAGCACAACATGATTAATTTATAATCTGTTCAACAAAAGATTTTATTTCTGTTTTTATAGGATCTAATTTTCCAGTGTTTCCAAAATGACAAGTTATTTTGTAAAGAACTTTAAAAAATTATTTCCTCTAATGTTGATTAACTAAGCTCTACCCCTAAATCCTATTCCATTTATTAGCACTATGTATGAACAGATCAGGTACTTATAATTATGTCCAAATCTGAGCAAAACAAGTAAATTTTAATTATCTGTTGAATTATTTTTAACTGTCAGAGTAAGACTAGATTTCAGTCTATGGATGTCTCACATTACAAAGAATTACTTACTTTTCTGTCTTGTTCCTCTTGTTTTTCCACCTGTGGTGTTGGAGTCCTTCCTTTGAGAGAAAATCTGAGTGCCGTCTAATGTAATGTTTGACCAAATTACTTATTTCTCTGTCTTATAGGACATAGGCTAATCTCTGTATGGTGTCAATATAGTTAATCGAAAGCCAAATAATGAAGTCAAATAAGTTGAAGATAAACTTGTACTTTTGCTGTTAATATCACACACGAAGAACAGATTGTTTACTTCACACCTGGAGAATCTGGTTCTTCCTGTTAGACACCTATTCTTTAGATGAAAGGAAAATCATTTTCATTGGAGCTAGTTGGTAACAGGAAGTTTTTGTTAAAACTGCCTACACTGAGTATTTTGTATAGTGTCTGTAAATGCAATACTACGTTATCTATAAAAAATATTACTTGAAAAATGTATTTGTATTTAAACAAAGGTTAACTTTTCTTTATCAAACCTGCTAAAATATATAATTAAATAAAAATAAGAATTGAAAAATGCTCGAAGTCCTCTTATTCAATTTATGATTGAATTCTGCCCTATTTTAGGAAATCCTATAAAAGCATAGCTCATAAAATCATAACATTTAGGAGTAGAACAACCTAAAAAGACCTCATGTCTTTAATCCATCCCACTTTTCTTCTTTCTATACTATTTTTAATTTAGAATTAGTTTCTTCTATAGTTCTCAATATAAAACTAAAATTGTACAGTAATGTTAAGCTATTTGTTTATTATGCCAATATAACAATTCAAAATTTTTATCAGGAAGAAATACTTACAGGAAAAGCTAGAAATGAAAATTTGTTTCATAATATCAAATTTCTAAACTTTTCCTTTTTTCTTCTACCTGAGATGTTGTTTGAGGCCAGGAGAAGGAATATTGCTATAAAAGCTACCAAAAAATCATTTAGACTTATTCTTCGATTTAGAAGGCTCATTTCCTGGAATCTGTTTCTACACTGCATTGCACTACCTTGAGTAGTGCACAGTCCCTGTAAATCTCGTCCTATCTGATCTATAAAACAGCACATGTATAAAAACAAAACAGTGGAAACACAAGTCCTTCACAGTAGGATGGATCATCTACACAGAGGATCATTTTTGAGTTATACAATTTATAAAGATTTCTTTGTTCCACTTCAGAGTAGTTCCAGTTCATTTCAAACTAGAAAATATAGGGCAAAAGAAGTTTATACAGCTTGCTAGCTTAAGAAAGAAAGGGAAGGTTCTTACATACATATACATATTTATCTGTGTATATCATACAGGTACACACCAGTCATATCTGAATATCTGTAGTGCCCAAATTGTGATCTTTAAAATACCATATTTTCAAAAAAGAAGCAATGTGAGGATGAACAAAAACACTAATGAAAATGGTTATATGTAGAAGGAAAGGAAGAGGGAGAGGAGAAAAGACAGAGATACACAGTAGTTCTTTCTGAGTGTAGCTTTTTTTTATAGCTTTGAATGTGCAACCATATAATTGTTTTAAAAATTAAATCTTAAAAAAGAAGCAAATCACCTCTTAAATGCAAAAGCACCTTAGAACAAATAAATTTAGCTACATACCTAGGTGGCGCCATAACCACACAATGTTATTTCAGGTAATTTTAAAACTTAGTGTTTGATGCAGCTATTGTGGAATAAGGAGTCCAAAATAACCTCAAAGAGATTTTAAATTGAATTTTAGTATATCTCATTTTTTATTAATACTGATATTATTAAGTTGAAACTCTATATAAAAAGAATAAAGCAAATAGGTAATGTCAGTGCCATTAGAACCTGTAGTTTTCAACACATGTAAAAAAGAAATACAAAGAAGATCTGAGAAGCTAAGTGAAAACTTGGAAATATTTAATTTGAAGTAAAAAAATATGAACTCATGACTTTTTTTCTATAAAACTATTTCCTAGCTTTGTACCCTGAAAGTACTGAGACACAGTGGTGAGTCAATACTAGTGACTATCCATTATAACCAGATTGAGGTCCTTAAACATAACATTTCTCACTGGAAAGGACAGAAATCTGTAGGCACATAGATAATTCCAGGGCATTGTTCCATACTGAAAAACAGAGAAGCTATCAAAGCCTTTTGGTGTTGTACCTAAAAGGACCCATGATACTACCTGGTGGGAACTCTTTCTGATCAAAACTGCATTACTTTTGGTCTCAAAAGTATAATATATAAATAGTAGTAATAATGAAACAACTTGATCACGTTTAGAGGTGAAAATTAGGAAATACAGGCAAAAGAGCAAACACCTTGATTTTTCTCCATGAATTGTATTTAAGAGTTACCAAGTGACTCAAACTTTTTTTTAAAGTAAAAAGCCTGTTATTAAATGCAGAGGGAATATAGAAGTAGACAAGTCAGTATTTCATAAACTCAAAATAACTGGATTAAGCAGGGTCATCTGCTAAAGTCATTAATTGAAAGATTAATGAAGAACGTTTTTTTGGATGGATCAGACTGACTTCAAATCCACTAGTCAGTTTCAATATCGCTAAAATCTGATGTCATATAAAAGTGCTTTTATATGCCTCCTAAGTACCAGAACCACTTGTGAAATATGCTTGCCAGAAGACTTCAACCTGAAACTCATTTATTCTGTACATCTCACTACCAGATATAAGAAGTACAGAGTAGGTATGTTAAGTGATCTCATGAAGATATTAGCCAAATCCCAAGCATGGGGAATTCTAAAGAAAAATGATTTGTTTCATTCTACAAATAAATATTATGGAAGGAAAAATGGTGGTGATGGTAGGGATGCTTTGGGGAGAGCAGGTAACATATTTAAAAAGACTTAACAATAAATTTTTATGAATATCTGGTTTTGACCTGATTTTGAATATACACTTGTAAAATTATACTTGGAAATTGTAAATGTATTGAATATTAAAGACTTGTTATAATTTTGTTGTGTCTAATAGTGTTATGATATTTTACAATTTTAAAATTTTGAAATGATATAATCAAGGGAGAAGGATTGAAAAGTATATAGGTATCAAAAAGATATAGTATTAATAATTTTAAACGTAGATATAGAGGCTCATTAGATTTTTTCTATGTATTTATTAAAATATATGTGTATACACACACACACAAATATATATATTTCTCCAAACATGTGTCAAACCCTGACCAAGAGAGTAAAATCGTCTGTTAGTTTCTAAAGGATGTTGCTTTTAGGACCCCCTCTAATGCCAAAATCCACAGATGCTCAGTCCTTTATGTAAAATAGTGTACCATTTGCACACAATCTATACACATTGTACTTTAAATTATTTCCAGGTTACTTATAATACTTAGCACAGTGAAAGTGCTATATAAATAATAATCAGTATTTTTGAGGAAATGATAAGAAAAATGTCTGTACACATTCAGATAGATTTTTTTCCCAAATACTACCCAATCTGAGGTTGATTGAATCCATTAATGTGGAATCCATGAGTTTAGAAGGCCAACTGTGTTTTATTAAACTTTTTGATAATATTTGCCATCTGATAGGCACATAGTGATATTTCATGATAATTCCTAATTTTCTTCAGAACTATTTTTGGTTTTTCATTTTGTACCTCAGTTCTCCATATACAAACATATGCATATATACATGTATATATGTTTGTATGTATGTATGCCAAGCCCAGTAAACTAGAGTGGCACCAAGTCTCTAGTAGATTGCATGTTTACATGGATACATTCACTCATTAGAAATGGAAAGGTTTGTATTTTATGAAGATCAGAACATGATATAAGGGTACATTCATTATGATGCAGAGGCTTTTTTTTGTTTTTTTTTTTTTTTGAGAAGGTAAATTTTGGCAGTGGGCTATTTAAAGTATCCTGCTTATTTTTCTCTTTGTACCTTTTTTTATTGGACTGTTGATTTATTGCTTGTGCTTTTTTTTCTCCTTCCTTTTTCCCTCCTTCTTTCCTTCATTCCTTCCTTCCGTTCCTCCTTACCTCTTCTTTCTTTCTTTCTTCCTTGGGTTTTGAGACAGGACCTTACTATGTAGCTCAGACTGGCCAGAGCACACAGTTCTCCTGCCTTAGCCTTTGAGTGCTGGGTTTACAGGTGTGTACCATCATCCTGGGGCTTGTGCTTTTTTGTTTTATAGGTAAGTGCTTATAAACTTTATTTTAGCAATAGTAAATAAGAAAAATGACAAAATCAGTACTGTACTTTCTAAAATCAGTTTTATAATCAGCAGAGTTAAAACTTTGGAATAGAAGAACATGGAATTTTTTAAGTTGCTATGTGATTTATATTTTCTGTAAAACCATTTGTCTTCCTAGACTGGCAAATAAACAAGACAAGGAAGGGGCTTTAGGAGAAGCTGATGTTATTGAATGTCTGTCTCTGGAAAAATTGGTCAATGAGCACAAGTGCCTATGTCAGATAGTAAGTTGTTTTTTTAATTTTTTTCTGTACTTTTCAATATGTTCAGAATAATTTAGCTTTTATTAAAGTAATAAGACAATCAGAGAATAATCTTAAATGAATTTACCCTCCCAGGAAATTATACTCTCACTCTTCTATTGGTATTAGTTAATAGTTTAATATCTGTTTTTTATTTAGTTGTTACTGACTTCCATAAACTGTCCTTCATAATTGCAAAGATTTTTGTGTTTGTTTTTGGTTTAAGATACTGTTGCTATGGGGCTGGAGGCCCCAAATGGGAGAGTGCCTATCTAGCAAGCACAAAGCCCATCCAAACCCCAGTGCCACACACAAAAAAAGATATTGCTAATAGGACCTGTAAATTATACCAAAATGTCATGTTGCAAATTGTAGAAATCATGAAAGAGAAATTATAAATATGTAATTTATAAGCATGGCCAGGTGTTGGTGGCTCACGCTTGTAATGTTAGCTATTTGGGAGGCTGAGATGAGGATGATCACGGTTTGAGGCTAGCCTGGCAAATAGTCCAGAGGCCCCATCTCCAAAAATAACCAGAGCAAAAATGAATTGGTGGCATTTCTCAAGTGGTAGAAAATATGCTTTACAAGCGAAAAGCCCTGAGTTCAAACCCAGTCTCACAGAAAAAAGAAAGAAGAAAGACTTTTATAAGAATAAGACATTTACAATGAATTTTGAAAAATCATATCAGGAGAGTTTTTATACAATTTTAAGGCAGATAAGCAGGGGATTTATTCTTGTGTCATAAAATGATCATTAGGTTTTAAATCTTAGGGATGTTTATTGCTGTGAATTCCTTAGTGAAAATTAAAAATTCCTGACATTTTTAATAAGTAAGCTATTTTTCTTGTGTCAGTTCAATTTTATCTTCCAATAAACTTAAAATTATACTTAGTCCTAGCAACTTCTTACCATTGTGTCTCTTGTATCCTACAGATGTTATCTATAAAATCTTTCAAATTCTGTGTAATACTAAATTTAGTTATCATAGCAAAGGTGTGTTTTAAGTTAAATAAGTAGATGCTTCATATCATTAACTTAAATCCTTTGATTTTGGTTTACCAGTAATTATACTTAGTGGTTTTGAATATATTTGTGTGGAAAACTTTTAGTTGTAATCTTTGAGCCAAATAAATTTCTGTTTTAGGAACCTTGTTCAGCAGTCTTGGGATATGGAAAGAAAATTGACAAGTCCATTAAAAAAGGCCTTTATTGGCTACTACATATCATCGCAAAAGACTTTGATGCTTTAAATGAACGCATCCAAAAAGACACAACAGAGCAACGTGCTCTTGAGGAACAAGAGAAGCGAGAAAGAGCTGAACGAGTACGAAAATTACGAGAAGAAAGGTAAATAGACTAATTTTACACTCTATTCTATTTGAGGAGCAAAGAAACATAACATTTTTATGAATAAGCTGCTAGTTTTGTCTATTCCATTTTAATTTTTCTTGCATGAAGGAAGGCAAGTCAGTTGCCTGTTTTATAAAGGATTTTATTTTACACTGAGTATATATCACCTTGTCTCCATAACTTCTTCTCTCCTCCTCTTCTATTATAGGTGTGCCCCACTATGAACAGGGATGCTGTTAAACATTCTATAATGCACAAAATAAGGCTTCCATAACAAAGAATCATTGGGTTCAATATGTCAAAAGTGTGGAGATTAAGAAACCTGTCTTTAGTTTTAATTAAAATAGGAGATATGTGCTGGGTGTGGTGTTGCACACCTGTAATCCCAGCACTTGAGAGGCAGAGGCACTCATAGAATCTGAGTTCCAGGCCAGTCTGGATTACAAATACCCTATCTTAAAGGAAAGAAGGCAAGAAGGAAGGAAGGAAGGAAGAAAAGAAGAGAGGGAGGGAGGAAGGGAGGGAGGGAGGAAGAGGGAGGGGAAGAAAAAGAGAAGGAGAGATAGAGGGAAGGAAGAAGGAAGAAAGTTAAGTAATTGTTAGAAGGTTAAACAAAAGTCTGATCTTCATCACTCATTTTGTCAGAAAGTGAACTATGTTGTATTATCTTAGCTTTTTAAAATATATTTTAAAATAATTTAAAAATATGCTGCCCTAAGGGAAGTATTTAAACTAAATTCAACAAATTGTGTGTTTTAAATGAAAGTTTCCTTCAATTCTACTTCAAAGTCTTTTTTTTTAATGCTTTAAGGAAATACTAAGATTTGAACCATACACTGGTGGCTCACACTTGTAACCCTAGTTATTCAGGAGGCAGAGATAAGGAGGACCGTGGTTTGAAGCCAGCTGCTGGCAAAGTTTGTGAGACCATATCTTGAAAATACTCAACACAAAAAGGACTTTCAAGTGGCTTAAGCAGTAGAGTGCCTGCCTAACAAGCATGAAGCCCTGTGTTCAAACCCCAGTACTACCAAAAAAAAATAAATAAAAAAGAAAGTACTAAGATTTGATGAGAAGTTAAATTTAATGCTTAATCTTAAATTACTCTTTCTTTTCACTGGTTTGTTATATGGTGGAGGAAGGCAGAAAAGAAAAAAAAATGAAAGGATTTTTAAGTGAGCTTCTGTAAGATTTATAGTTGCCTTCCATCCATGTACCTAAGTAATATTGGTCATCTCTATGGTTTAATATAGTTCATCCCAGTAGGCAAGAACCTTGTACTCGTGGACCTTTGTTAGGTACTCCTTTTCACTGTGAAGGAAATCCTCTGATGGTGTCTTTTATTTATTTCAGAGATAGGAGTTAAAGGAAAGAAATATTTGTAGAAATAGCTCTCTATCGCCAAATGCTCCATGGTATGAGTTCGTCATTCTATTCTCTCTTGATATCAAAGAATAGAATGAGTGGTCTTGGCAGCTCCTGATAGGAGATTTCAGTTACTATGAGAATCTTTGGTTCTCTATTCTAGTATATACTTTCATGAAATAAAGTTCATTACCAACCATAATTTATGTAAAATACCATTATGTATATATTTATACAAGTCAATATATGGCCATGCTTTTCTGAAAACTCTTTTGTCTTTTTTCCACCACAAACACAAAAATACAATTTGTAGATGAAACAGTAAACAGAAAGGAGAGGCCTAGCTGAAAAAGACTATATTTTCTATTATGCTATGAGTAGAAGCACTGTAATGTCATTGTTCATTCCATTGCATTCATTCCATTGCGTTCAGTCTTGTGTCTTTCTTTTCGAAATTAAATATCATTCTGAAGTGGTAAAAAAAAAAAAAAGAAAAACAAGAATACAGGGTAGAGGGTTTAGCTAACTTGTGGGTAGAATGCATGGGTATCATGTGTGAAACTCTGGATTCAATCCCAAAGAGAAAAAGGAAGAAAAAGAAGAAAGGCAACAGTAAAAGATTGAGTTGAATGTAAGAAATCTAACACTAGTCATTTTTAAAAAGTTTTTACCTCTTCCATAATTCTGTTCTAGATCATGTTATGGCAGGCATTCTAATACTCATTCCCTTTTCCTTTTTCTCCTTAGCCATGCCAGCTGAGGTGTGAGAACGCTTCTGTTGAGACTCCATGATTAAAAATAAACTGGGATTTAGGGAGGAGTGATTAAAAACAATGTTATGTTGTTAAATCCAATCTAATTGGTCCAGATAGTCGTTTCTAATGTTTTTGTAAGAAACAGGAAAAACATGGTATTTTGATATGAAAATTATATTGTTAACTAATAAATGAGAGACGTAAATAACAACGGCTGTCCTATAGGTATGTTCATTTAAAAACAGATTATTTTCACATATATTACTTTACCTGGTCTTTGAAGCAGCATTATGATATGCCTTTTTTAATTCACATTTATGGGAAAGCTGAGGTTCAAGATCCTGGATGTGGTACATTGACAATCTCCAAATCTCAGCTTCCTAGGTTCAGAATGAAAGGATATTTTCCATTATAGAACATAGTTAACAAATGTCTCAGTAAATAACATTCACATTGCTATACTAAGTATACTGTATCTTGTGGTTAAAAATGCATAATACTTCTGGGTTTTTTTTTTTTTTTTTGCAGCAGCAACTGCTTGCTTGTTTTTTTTTACTGGGGTTTGAACTCAGGCCTTACACCTCAAGCCACTCCACCACCCCTTATTTGGAGGATGGGATTTTTTAAGAAAATAGGGTCTCGAGAACTATTTGCCCAGGCATGAGCCACCAGCACCCAGCTGCTTTTTTTAAAAATTTTTTATTTTTTAAATTTTTTCAGGTTGTGGGAGTGACAAACCTCAAAATGACTGATTTTCTTTTGGGGGAAGGAGAAATTCCCTGAGTCCATTCTCCCCCTCTCTGATAAGAACTTTAATTAAAAACTCTCTCATTTTTTTTGCTTTTGGTTGTTTTAGTAATTTGTTATTCTTCCTGTATTGGGCTATATTAACTATAAATCACAGATAGTAAATGTTCAGTGGTAACTGATAAGGAAATACTTATATTTTTTGGAGATACTGGGATTTGAACTCAGGACTTCATGCTTGCTAGGCAAGTATTCTGCCACTCGAGCCACACCCCCAGTACTTTTTGCTTTAGCTTGTTTTCAGATAGGGTTTTGTGCTATTTTTCTGGGCCAGTCTCAGACTATGATCCTCCTATCTCCACTTCCTGAGTAGCTGGGCTATAGGCATATGCCATCAAGCCTGGCTTATTTGTTGAGATAGAGTCTCCATAACTTTTTGCCTGGGCTGGTGTTCTACTACAGTCCTCCAATCTCCATCTCCAGAATAGGTGGGATTACAGATGTATACTACCACATTCAGCTCTGATACGGAAATATTTAATCTGAATGATACAGGAGAACTTTTTTTTTTTTTGCAATGTTGGGGCTTGAACTCAGGACCTTCACCTTGAGCCACTCTCTCAACCCTTTTGGTGATAGTTATTTCTGAGATAGGGTCTTGTGAACTATTTGCCTAGGCTGGCTTTGAACCACGATGCTCCTGATCTCTGCTTCCTAAGTAGCTAGTATTACAGGCGTGAGCCCCCGGCGCCCAGCAAATTACATTTTTATTTTTTTATTTATTTTTGGGCAGTACTGGGCTTGAACTCAGGGCCTTGTGCTTGCTAGGCAAGCACTGTATCATATGAGCCATGCCCACAGCCCTGAAGAACTTATTTTTATAGCCTCTCAAACTACTAGACACAGCAATAGTTGTTATCTAGTAATTCAAATGTGACATACAACTTGACAACATATATCATTTTACATTGCTACTTTGTCATATAGTATCAATCTCTAGATATCCTGCTCTGTTGTTTGTCTTATAAATAAGAAACATATTTCCACATAAATAAAAACACAGGTTGAGTTAAAGGAATGTTATCCCAGTTATATGTATCCCAAGGGAAGATATAGCCCTTAAGAATGGGGCATATTTTTTAGGTCCAGTTAAAAAAAAGATAGTGCTGATTTTAGAGTATAATTAATAATTGACAAGTACACACCTTTGGCACAAAAACAGAATTAATTTGTACTATTAACAATAAAAAGTCAAAGGAAATGTAATTTTGTCAGTATTTTTTATTATAATAACGTGAATTATACAAATTAATGATTTTCACTGTGAAAATTCCATGTATGCATGTAACATGCTTTGATTATATTCATTCTTCCTACTGACCTCTGTTACCCTGCCTTGGTTCCATCTTCTTTCCCTAAAATTCACTCTTATTATTACAAGAATTTTTTATTTTCCACATGAATGAAAAATATGTGACACTTGTTTTTCTGTGTCATACATTTCACTTACCATGATGACTTCTGATTCCGTCATTTTTCCTGAAAATGGAATGAATCCATTCTTCATGACTGAATACTCCACATTTTCTTTATCCACTCATCTGCTGATCAGCACCTAAGTTGATTATATAACTTGGCTATTGTGAATAGTGATTTAATAAGCATGGGTATGTAGTTATCACTTTAATATACTGGTTTCATTTCCTTTGGAAGTAGCATAGTTGGGTCACATGGTAGTTGTAGTTTTATGTCTTTGAGGAGTTGCTATATGATTTTCCATAGTGGCTATACAAATTATATTCCCATTCCTACCAATAGTATATAACTTTCCTTTTTCATTTTTTCTCCCCCTCTCGGATAAGAATTTTATTTTTTAATTATCGTATCATTGTTATACTGGGGGTGCATTGTGACATTTAGAAAAGTACTTAAAATATATCTTAGTTAAATTCACCCCCCATAATTCTCCTTTATCCCCACCTCTCATTCTTAGAATTGTTTCAGTAGTTCTCATTTTTCCATTTTCATGCATCAGTACATGATATTTCCACCATATTCACCTCCTACAACTTTTCCTTATATCCTTCCTGCTCATACTGGTACCAACCCCCAGGTAGGAACTGATTTGTA